AGCGTGCATCAAAGCTGACTTTGGTGAAGTGAATTTCCCACTATTGATTGCTGCATGTGACGCTTTCAAATAAAAAAAGCAGAAACAGGGCGACTATTAAGCTCCTATACTTTGCTTTGATTTTTATAAACATAAAATTCCCTGTAAATCAGCCACCAATTGCAATCACATCGGGGGTTTTTCCCTCTAAACTGAAATCCAATCAATTAATCTCCTCCACAAGCATCGTTTTCTTGATCATTCAAAGGATAATTCGCAACAAAAAGCAAATTTTAATTAAAGATTGGTCAGTAAGGGAAAAGTTTCTGTTAAAGATTTATATTAGATGTTTATACATTTGCTTTCACTATTCTAGATACTATTTATAGTATTGCCAAATTTCAATTTTGAACAAAGAATAAGTCCCAGGTAAGCACTATGTGAATTTTATCTTGAAAGGTGCTCATTGTCATTAAAAAAGGTCTCAGTTTTATTCGACAGGAACGTGATTTTTGTTCTTCATTCAAGCACTATTTATTAATCCTTGCAAGAGGGAACAGGTACAGTCTTGTCCCCAGTTTTCTCTCTGTTCTGGTCAGACAAAGGTCAATTTTCTGTCCATCTATCCAGCATGTTCTTGTCATGTTTGGACCTTCTCAACACAAATACAGTAATAGCCATTCAAAATTCCCCCACTTTCCTTGAGGGGTCCTTGGCTGGTCCCCTACAATTCCTTTTTAAGCATCAGTCTCTTACTAAAATATTCTTTCTGTCATGATTTGTGGACAATAAGATGTAAAGAGTAGCGCCATTTCTTGTTCAGACCCCGTGATTCAGTGAAAGGGTGGAGTCAGAGTAAAAAAAATATTCATGTCCAGGGGAGGAGCGGGTCACTACAGTCGCTGGAAGTTGGAGCACAGTCTGCTGCCGTTGGACTGGCGTTTGCCTGGGAAGGGCCATTTTGACTGGAAGAAGTTCTAGTTGTCATAGTGACATTTTCCTAAATACATTCTGTGGTTTGGTGTCTCTGCACATTTTGTCTCAATCTGAACTTTTGAGATCCAAACAGGATTTTCTCCAATCAGCTGAGCCTCCTTAGCTAAAACAAACCAATTAGGTCTACAGTTTCTAGCCTTAAATGGCCGACCACTACCGATGATTATCTGTGATTCTCCGCATCAACCTGCTGCAGAGCTGCTTAAGGTATCGGACATGTTTCCTTTATAAATCCTCATAGGGTCAATAAGAACATCCTGCAGCGGTCTGAAATCAAATCTCATTAGGACTCAAGCTTCCAAAGGTGGGCTGGAGGAAACTCTGCCTGGAGACAGCAGGCACCAAGATCTGATTGGCTTACTCCAACCAATGCAGCTTCTCACTGTGGCTTTACTTTACACCTCTATGTTATGGAAAACATCTATCTGAGAAATCAAAGTTGATAAAAAGAAATTAAATCAAATGACTTTTCAATTCTTAGGGGCTTCTCTGGCCCCCCCTGATGGTTTCCTTCTGGTGGTCAGAAACTGATTTACAGCAGCAACGCTGCAGATGGAGAAAAGAAGGTCAGGGGTCGCGGCTCGTCAATATATCGGTTCTGTGTTAAAGCTCCTAATCGGACCATCTGAGCTGAGAGCGAATCGGAACATAAACCTCCAGAAATCGGGGAGATGAGGCCTGTGCAGAGTGCAGGTTCTGAGCCATATGTAGCTGAAGGATTAAGACCCTCCTCTCTGCTCACCATCTGTCTCTTCATCTGCTCTGCACTCGTCTAACAAACGCAGCGGTGATGTAACCTTACAACCTCTTCAACGTGCTTTACTGATCTGTAATCAGCTGGAACATCAGAGGATGTGGGACTTTTTCCCTCTCTGGATGCACACAATTAAAATATTTGAAGGAACTCACATGAGATTGCTCTTTTTCTTTGCTGGTCCTAACAGTTACATTAACCGGAGCTAAATCATCTGATGGGATATTTTCTTCATAAATCAGAGGTTTCTGATTTTGCCAGGAAAGGCTGGTTACTGTACCATGGCGGGGGGAAACAACAGGAGATTTGGAGTTCAGTCCTGAATGTTTCCAGCACGCAAACAGATAACCTCACAATGGGCTTAAAGATGAGTTGCTCGGCTCTGTGCAACCTGCCATGCAGCATAAACAGATTTATACTCTCCTCTTTTCATTTGCACGCTCAGTCTCTTCATCCCTGATAATCCACAGTGGTTCTGTGTCTGAGCGGCTCTTTATCAGATGATGCCACAGGTTTAGTGCAGACTGAAACCACTTCCAGTTAATCGCTGCCTTTCAGATACTTCTCATTTTCTTGTCAGTTTCATCCCTGCAGCCAGTTTCTGTTTAACTTTAAAACTTTTCGCTCCTAGATTAGGATGTGTTCTGTTGTGTGACGGGTGGCACGGCTCAGTCGAAGCGCAGAGGGTTGATCAGCCTCAGCTTCAAACAGCTGGGAGCTTCATGTGTGCAGAAGAGAAGGAAGGAGCCCACTGAGGAGGTGAAGCTCAGAGAGTGTTGGACATTCCTGTCTGCAGGGTGATTTCAGAACCACTGTTCTGTTAAGATCTCAAAAAAAAAAAACAGTAAATGCCAGAACCTTCACGTCCAGCTCAGCTGATTTAATGATTCTAGACATAATACATGTCAATTAGATTTTGATGAAGAACTTATGATCTTTTTTTCTGTTTGTAAATAAAAAGCACAACACAATCTTCATATCTGTACAACGATAAATCCTGGATGTATATATTTTTTAAGTCATCTCCAACTGTCATGGGACAACTTAACATATCTACCCAGAGTTTGGAGAGCTGTGTGGCTCCTGCCCTCAGGGTCAGCCACTTGGACACACTGCGAAAATGTTCTGAAAATTTTTAAGAATTCTTAAAATAAGTGTATTTACCCTTAATTTGGGTAGGAAAATAAGATTATTTGCTAATAAAATGAAGATTTTTACCATTAAAATAAGATAAATAGTTATTATGCACCCAAAATAAGAGGATGTGGTTGTTTTTCTCTTATTTTAAATGTAAATTGTCTTTTTTTGTTTTGGCCAAATGACTGTCTTATCTGCTCAATAATACATACACTTATTTTAAGAACAAATTACTTTAAATTACTTACATTTTTTTTCAGTGCAGTCAGTATGTCTGTAACCAGTCTTTTCTGATTCCTCCTTGATCCCTTCTGCAGCAAAACTTTGGATCACTGCTGGTGGATGTTTAATGGAAGCTGTGTTTCTGCATCAAGTCATAATGATGTTGGTTTTGTTTTAGTTTTTGAACTAAACTGTAGCCAGTAATGCTAAATGAGCTGAAATATCTTGATAAATTGTCAAACAATCCCAAACAATTTGGATTGTTGATTTGGAGGTTAATTTAAGTGAAGTCCTTACATTATTATATTACTGAATAGAATCGAATAGAGCAGAATAATCCTAATTCAACCTCTAAATCTAAACCAATTAAAGGTCAAGGCTACATGAACGGAACCCCAAGATAACCCCCCCCCCCACCACCACCTTTTTCTGGTCGATAGCAATGGCTTCCAACTTGAAGGAACTGATCTTCATTCCAGCTACTTGTCACACTGCTGTGAACTGTCCCAGTGCATTTTGTAGCTCTTGACATTTCATAACTCCTATTTAAGAGGAGTTTATAAAGTGTTCACTACATTTAAATCTCTGGACTTTGCAGCATTGTTAACTTTTTCTATATATTTTTTTTTTGGGGGGGGGGCAACCAAATGAGAGAAGCTGGAGTCATAAACAAAAGCCTGATTAATCTTGACCGCTTATAAAGTTCTCCAGCACTAGAACCAGTAGTAGTCATAAATATTAAATTCTCTGTGGCGGCATCAGCTTGTCTGCTGGGTCCCTGGCAGCGCAGAGCGAAACAGAAAGAGACTGAACAAACTGATGAGGAAGGCCACTTCTGTCCTGGGCTGCACTCTGGACTCAGTGGAGGAAGTGGCTGAGAGGAGGGTGCTGTCCAATCTTACATCCATCATGGACAACACCTTTCACCCTCTGCTCCAGACTGTACAATAGAGGAGCTAAGCAGGTCCTTTAGCGAAAGACTTTTACACCCTGTTTAGAAATAGGAGCGCTACCGCAGGTCATTCATTCCTGCTGCAACCAGACTCTACAGTGAGACACCACAACAGTAATAACTTGTACAATGTATAATGTGCAATTTACCATTTGATATCCTGTGAAATAACCTGTTTCTCTACATTTAACACCAGGTGCAATAACTATATATATAATTATAAATATCCATCCATATAAATACCCATATAAACACCCTGTGCTACAATAAAATATGGAAGCTCATTGGTAGAATTCCCGTATGACAGAAAGAAGGCCACGATTCACACCATATTATCATCCGGAGGGGGGAAACATTTAATTGCAAAACCGAATTCATACAGCTGTCTTAAAAACTTCATACATTCAGCAATGCATCGTCATGTCTCAATTATAATTCCCCCAACCTTCAGTCGATTCAGGCTGCATTTATAGTTTCCACATCGCATTACGTAACTGCACATGCATAGGAATATCATGTCGAAAGATTACTGGAATTCACGTGGGCTGGTCGGCGTCAAAGTCACTCCGACCTTCAAAGAATGTTTATACAGATGTTCTCTGTTTATGCCAAACTTCCTCATACATCATCTAATTGCGTACGAATAAGGCATTAGGGACTTTATTATTGCTAAGACTCATACTTGAACTTGAACATGTACTGTTTTGTTGCTAAGTAAGTAAAAAAAAAAAGCTTTCATATGGGGATGCATTGTATATATCCCATGCTCCTTTTTCTTCCTTAGGCACCTTCTTTTTCTTTGACTATTTGAGCTGATGTAACTAGTAAATTTCTCCACTGTGAGATCGATAAAGTCAATCAAACAATCAATCAATCAATTCTAACAACATTTAACGAAGCGTTTTTATCCAGACCATGTTCTTTATGCAAATTGACCTGTTGATGACCCTTTCTCTTCAGGATTACCGTGTAAACATCTTCCTCCGCCAGCAGTGGAACGACCCCAGACTCGCCTATGCAGAATACCCCGACGACTCCCTGGACCTGGACCCATCCATGCTGGACTCCATCTGGAAACCAGATCTGTTCTTTGCCAACGAGAAGGGAGCCCACTTTCATGAAGTCACCACAGACAACAAACTGCTCAGGATATTTAAGAACGGCAACGTTCTGTACTCTATAAGGTGAGTTCTGCTGCAGGTTGGGATTAGGAGATAGAACAGAAGGCTGTTCTATCTCCTAATCCCTTTCTTTAGTTTTAACGTTAAAGAGCAGCACAGTGTTTTTTCACTTAAACATAAACAAATCTTAAATGTTTTCATTTCCTGCTGGAAACAGGTCCATCTGCACCAGCTGCTTTATTAATAAGTATTCTGCTCTGTTGTTATGATTCAACACCTCAATGGTGAATCCATGAAACAATAAAAGAAGGAATATTATTTTATCAGGCTGCATTTTAAATTTTCATCTTTTGTGTCAGCGCCGGATCAACATGCATGATTACCCAAACGCAGAGCACAGCGACCCATGCAGACTAGAATATCATACAACACATTAACCACCCAACGGCTTTTCTGGGAACACAGGAAATAAATCAGATTAAATTAACATTTTAAATACGTTTAAAAAATTCAAGGAAAAGTTAACATTTACATCCCTGAAGGTTTTTTGAACAGTTACTTTGTCTTTGACACCTGAGTCTGGATCAATCTGTTTTATAGCTGCTTAATTCGAGCCCCTCACTGCCTTTAACCTCCACTCTCCTAAAATGTTCTTTGCCTTCAGGCTGACTCTAACTCTGTCGTGTCCCATGGACCTGAAGAACTTCCCGATGGACGTCCAGACGTGCATCATGCAGCTGGAGAGCTGTGAGTCCTGCAGAAACACTCAAACTGTCTGATATGTAAATGAAGATAAAAGTAGCTGCTGTCTAAAGTCCCAAGCAGCACTTGGTGGTTAATCAGATTACTCTGCTCATTTGAGCTGCTCAGTTCATAACTTGTCATAATTTCATGAGGTTATCTGCTTGGTGCTGAATGTGAATATGTTCCAACTCTCATGGATTCAATCTGTCCATGCAGCAGTAGGGAGGGTCTGAACACGCCACTGAGTATTGAAGCACTGAGGATGAACATGGGCGGGAAGTGAACAAATCAGTGCAGCTCAGTCTGTCATGGAACCAATGAAGCAAATGCTGACGTACCTCTTTAAGAACCCAGTTGGATTCACACATGCTGGAGTGACTCATTTATTCTCCATCCAATCAAAGTTTGTTTTTTCCTGCTGTTTGCAGACGTCTCCAGCCCCCCTGCCCTGCAGCATGACCCCTGTTTAGACCTGCTTCTATATTTCTCCATGTGAGGCACAGCTTATTTTTAACACTCCGTTTGTGCAGCATCACAGTGACTCCTTCATAAAAGACCAGACGATTTTGGTTATGAAAGGATCAGAGCCATTTATACAAACAATGGAGACTTTAGCTAGAGGGATAACCCTGCAAAGCCCTGCAAACACGACATCCGACTAGATGTTTTAATTGATAAAAATTAAATTATCATCACTATGAACCTTATCCATCATAACAGCACTAAATTTGCAGAAATGTACTTTTAAACATAGATGTTTCTCTGATTATGAAATTATGTAATACATAAATAATAAATTAATACATTTTTTATTTATTCTGTACATTTCCATCCATTTTCCGTCACGCTTATCCAAAGCGGGGTCGCAAGGGGTGCCAGTGCCTATCTCCAGCTGTGTACGGGGGAGAGGCAGGGTACACCCTGGACAGGTCGCCAGTCCATCGCATGGCAGCTTAGTCTTTACATTTCAAAAAAAAATTTTAACTTTTTTATTTCAGTTCTTTTCACAGATATATTTTTTATTTTGTTTACAGATTAGCTTTTTTTATTGTGTTGGGGCGGGCTTTCCTCTGGAGTGAGGAGCAAAGAAGCATTTCTATTGGTCAGCTGGATGTTAGCAACAACCTTTTTATTGGGCTTGAAGTAAAGAGAATATGGTCTGTAAAATGCTGTTTGAAATGAATTAATCTTTTAAAACTAAATCTGAGAAAAGAGATTTGAAAAAGAAACATCTGAACGTATAAAATAACAAAAAAAAAGAAAGTTAGAAAAAAATAAATATGAAAGAAATGTATCAAACAGAACACCACAGTTATTCTTAGGTTTTATTTCTGAACTTTTTTTCCAGATTTCTATTATAACTCATTGCATGAATTAATAATGGAACATCATTAATTCCATTCCAAACCCTCTGACCCCCAGCAGCTGGCAAACCAGGTTAAGTCTCTTACTGAAGGGAACCGGGGTCGAGACGGATGGAGTGGGGGCTCAAAGCAGCGCCCCACAGGTTACAGGAACAGCTTAAAGTCCTACCAAATCTAACAGAACAGATGCTTCATCTATCCGAGAGGAAAAAGTCAGTAGTTTGAACTGTTCAGGGAAATCTAAACGTCTCATTTCTGGGGTTTTGAACCACAGGAAGGGGATTGGGTCTCAGGGAAACCCCTTTGGAACCAGAGCTGCATGGAGATCAGTATGATGAGCAGGGAAGCGATGCCTGACGGAGCGTGTTGGATCTGTGTGCGCTGAGAGCAAAGAGCTGTGAAAGAAGCATGTTCAGCTTTTTCTCCATGCATTAAACGCTCAGTTTCACAAACCCAACAGTGCACATCTAAGCAAACCACAGGACAGATCTTCATCTCAAAGCCTCACCACAGTAACCTCTGAATAGAAATCTACAGTTAGACATAAACGTACATTTTGAAATGTAGGATTTCATGAAAAAAACAACACATGCTTCCATCGATTTTAATATGGGCAGAAACTTTTGCCACGTTTGAACCCCCCAGAGCGAATCTGTCTACGCAAGAATTCTATGTGTTGTTTTAAGGGGAATTTCACCAAATTCAAAGCACATTTAATGTGAAACTGAAAAAAAACTGTATGAAATATTTAAAACTGAACTATTTAGCATTAAGAATAAATGTAACTTTTTTTATGGTTCAGTTCTAGAATTCAGTTTCAATTCTCGCATTCAGATTTTTCCTTGCCACACATCCAGGTCCTTGAGAAAGACCAGAGTAATCGGACACAGATTCACATCATGTCAAATAACAAGCAGCAAAAGTCTCAGGTTTGAATTAAATTTATTCCATACATAAGAAGCTTCAAGTGATTAAATTTCTTTGTGTATCTGGGCCTATAAGGGTTGTGGTTCTATCCAATAATACAGTACATACCAGTGGCTGCTACTTTAGTATAACACTGATTTTATGACAGATTTTTTCACTTTTTTGAACCTGTCAAATGTGGAACAATTCTTCACTGAAGTTGTTAAAAAGGTGTTCTGTCCTGCAAAAATTTAGGACGTCTGGTCACCCTCATGTGGAGCCATAAATATTTGAGATCTCTTGGACACTATGCTAATATAGGGTCCTAAGCTGAGAAAAACATATAGCATTGCTGTTACAATCAGGGTCTGATTTGTTTACCTGACGCTTCTCATGCATCTGGGCAATTTATTAAAAACCTGAGAGTTTTGCTTCTGGTCATTTCCCTGATGTCATCAACCAAGCTCCACTTTTCCAAGTCTAAATACAGCTACATAGCTGCAATCTGTGTTTGATTAGAAGCAAGAAAAAGAAAAAAATCTGAATTTTGCAATTGAAATTAAATTCCACTTCTGAAAGAAAAAAAAGGTATTTTTTTTTCAAAGTGAAAAAATATAATCTCAAAACAAATTTTTCCAGTTTAATATCATTGAATACATTTATATCCAGTTCTCACATCATCCACCCATCAATCCATTTTCCGTCACACTTATCCCCAGTTGGGTCGTGAGGCTAGTTGGTGCTTAACTCCAGCTGTCTAAAGGCGAGAGGCGGGGTACATGCTGGACAGGTCGCCAGTCAATCACAGAGCAACACAGAGACAATCATTCACCCCTAAGGAGAATTCAGAGAAGCCAATAAACCTAACAGTCATGTTATTGGACCATGGGAGTACCCAGAGAGAACCCACGCATGCTCAGGGAGAACATGCCAACTCCATGCAGAAAGACCCCAGGCCAGGAATCAAATCCGGAAACTTCTTGCTTCAAGGCAGCAGTGCTACCAACTGCACCATTGAGCCGACGAATTAATACATATTTTTAGTTCCACATTATTAAATACATTTTATTCAGTTTCACATTATCAAATACGGCTTATATTTTGTGAAATTTACTTTCAAAATTTGGAAGTTTGCATGTATTGATTTGCTTTGGTTAATTCCAATTCGGTTTCTGATGGTACAAGTTTCATGTGATACTTAAATCTCAATAAACAATTTTAGTTTTAGTCTGAAACCATGTCACTTTACTCTTTTCTAAAAGGATTTATAAGAGGATAATTTTCTGAGCGCAGCTCTTAATGGAATGCTCTGGATTAGATGATGCAAGTTTTTCTAAGGCCAGTCCTGATACCATTTATTCTGACATCATTTTAAGCTGAATCTTGAAGCCATTATGCTTTATTTACTTCCATTTCCATTTTACACAATTGTACAATGAAAACAAATGTTAGACAAGTCTCCATTCAAACAAACGATATATTTTATTAACAAATTAAACTAAACATAAACAATGTATAGCAGATGGAGGGAGCTGCAATGCAAGAGCTCCATATGATCCCCAATCATGGCTGCAGAAGGTACTGATGAATGATTATACTGATTCAAGACTAAAACAATAAGCCAAGCAATGTATCGGTCTGTCTCTACTGTGAGTGATACTAGCGCTACATGTTATTCTGATTCAAATCAATCCATTACTAAAGTATGGATAGAGTTGGTGGAGGATCTTGATGAGGAGGTGTTGCTTCGTCTGAAGAAGATTGTTTGGTTCTAAAAACATCTGAAACTTTTTAAGAAGCTGCAGGCATCTGTCTCTGTTTTGTTGTTTTTCATCTTAGCTTAAAAAAAAAAAAAAACTTTTCTTTCACTTCAGAATTTATCTCCAGAAACAGGACAGCGTGCATCCTTAATGCATGGCTGTAGGCCTGTACTAGCACCACCCGCTGGTTTCTGCTTTCACCTGGAAGCCCTGCAGAGCTCTGCCTGCACGTCAGCATACTCACCCTTTGGTTGGTAACTTGAACAGGTCAGCGGCATCTGAGGGAGGAACTATTTCTTCCTCTGTTTGCCCAGAGCATTGCATCAACATCACATAGAACATGTTTGTATTTTCTAGTTGCAGAGATTTTACTGAATGCAGGCAGTGGCACGGGAAGGGGGGTGCTGCCGGGGCTGCAGCCTCCCTCGTCATAGCATCAGCCCCCC